GCCATTAAGAACATTCATAATTCATGGGAGGTGGTCAAAAATATCAACATTAACAAGAGTTTGGAGGATGTGGACTCCAACCCTTCGGAATGAATTTGAGGAGTTCAAGACGTCACTGGAGGAAATGAAGTGCAGATGTGGTTGAAAGAGCAAGAGAACCAGAAGTGGAGCCTGAAGATGTAACGAAATGTATGACATTTTAATCTCCTTCTAAAACTTGATTGAATGAGGTGTTGCTTCTTATGGATGAGCAAAGAGTGGTTTCTTGAGATGGAATCTACTCCTGCTGAAGATGTTCACAGCATTGTTGAAATGACAACAAAGGATTTAGAATTACATAAATGTAGTTGATAAAGGAGTGGCAGAGCTTGAGAGGATTGACTCCAATGTTGAAAGAAGTTCCACCGCAGATAAAATGCTATCAAATAGCATCACATGCAATAGATAAATCTTCCTGAAAGGAATAGTCCATCTATGTGGCAAACTTTCTTGTTGTCTTACTTTAAGAAGTTACGACCGCCACTTCAGCCTTCAGCAACCACCATCCTGATCAGTCAGCAGTCATCGACATCCAGGCAAGAGCCTCCACTGGCAAAAAGATTATCGCTTGGTGAAGGCACCAATGATCGTCAGCAATTTCTAGCAAAAAGGTCTTTTACATAAAGGTATGTACCTTTTCTTAGACATCATGCTATCGCACATTTAATAAACTACAGTATAGTGTAAACATAAATTTTATGTGCGCTGGAAAACCAAAAAACTTGTGCGACTCGCTTTATTCCAATATTCACTTCCTTGTGGTGATCTGGGAATTGCCCACACTATCTCCAAGGTATGCCTGTATAAGAGACTGGACCTGCTGCTACTTGACAAAGGGAAGCAAGGTTATTTTATCGTTTTATAACAAAATGCCATGCTTCCTTTACAAAGCAAGAATTTGTTTTCCTAGCAATATCAATAAAAGCGATGTGATTATTTCATTTTTCTAGAGCTTCATCCCTTGCTTCCTTTTCTCTTCTTATCCCGATTTATTTTCTTTCATCTATTTTTAATTTACATTATCTTGTTGCATTTCGTGTACCCAAATAAACTGCCTTATGTACTTCCTGAAACAAGATAAAATCATACAAAGTATAATGTAAGGTATAGATGACATTTTCATTTAATGGACTTTGCACACAGTAGGATTAATCTGATATTTATTGCTTTATTTCATTCATGGACATCTGAGAATCTTCTTGAATGGATGTCTGGCTATAAAAAATAGTTATTACAGTAAACTGAATAATGGCTCCTAAATATGTCCTAATCTCTGGAACCTGGAAATGTTACCTTGTGTGGAAAAAGTCTTTGCAGATGTGATTAAGTTAAAGGTCTTGAGAGAGAGAGAGATTATCCTGGATTATCCAGGTAGGCTCTAAATGAAATCACAAGTGTCCTTATAAGAGAGAGGCAGAGGGCAGTTTGACGCAAACAGAAGAGAAAGCAGTGTAACCACAGAGGCAGAGAGATTAGAGTGATGCAGCCAAAGAACGTCGGCAGCCACCAGAAACTGAAAGAGGCAAAGACAGTTTCTTTCTTAGAATCTTCAGAGGGAGGGCAGCCCCACCAACACCTTGATTTCCGCCTAGTGATAGTGACTTTGGAATTCTAACCTCCAAACTATGAGACAGTACAATTTTATTGTTTTAAGCCACCAAGTTTGTAGTAATTTTTACAGTGGCCATGAGAACTTAACAGAGTAATTAATTTGAATATATGCAAATGTTAAAAGGAGACAGTGTTCCTTGTAACATTGAAGACATTGGGAAACGCAAAAACAACAAAGTTATTTCCATTTAGAATGATAAAATATTGAAGCATAGTTTAAAAGGATCAGGAAGTTTTTATTTCAAAGGACTACCATATGTTTCAGGAAAATGCTACATTTCTAACGCAATTCCCTCTCTAACATGTCAATTATCTTAAAGCAACATTATCTGGTACCAGTGGAAAGCAAATAGTAATGCCATTCTCCCGTGGACATCTCACTCCACGTTGTTCTCCAGTCACTCTTCAGTGAACCGCCCCCCTCATAAGCCTTACCACCTTCCCTGAAAGTCCTCTTGTTTTGCTGGAAGGAATCTATTCTTTTACTAAAGCAAAGAACATATTTGGATAATTTCACCTATGGGAAAGTTTCTAGTGCAGTAAGTTGCTGCACTTACCCAGCTATATGAGCGAATAATGTCCATAGCACCCTGGTGGCTCCCTGGACAATACGAGGCACAATTCATCAGCACCTGCCTGTCTAACCTCACTTATCCTTGTTTGTCTCTTGATTAGCAGGCAGAAAGATAAGCCGTCTTCACCCTAGATAACTATAAAATAAACTATGCTGAAGGTGGAAACTTACACTTGGAAAATCACAGGACTGTCTTAGCTAGATTCTAAGAGGCAAATCATTCATTTAGCCAGAAAAATGTACAAGTGGAAAAAAGATTTCTCTTTAATATATGCTATAAGCAGTTTGTGAAAAGTTTTTTCTTAAAGAACTCAATATGTCTGCTTTCTGAATAACAAAACGTCTGAAAATGAGAAACTTAAAATGCTAGGCAAGTGAGGATTTAAGAGTAAGTATCCTCCATTTGATTGTACAAGTAGGAAGCTGGGGTCATCTTTGACACTGTCCCCCTTCATATTCAATCCAATTTTGACTTTTCCTAAGATTTTACCATTTATTTTTTGTTCTCTTTTTGTTTGTCTGTTTTTGAGATAGAGTCTTGTCCTCTTGCCCAAGCTGGAGTGCAGTGGTGTAATCACAACTCACTGCTGCCTCGACCTGCTGGACTCAGGGGATCCTCACTCCTCAATCCCCCAAATATCTGGGACTGCAGGGAGGCATCACCATATCCAGCTAATTTTTATATTTTTGGGGGGAGACAGGGTTTCACCACGTTGCCCAGGCTAGGCTTTTACTCCTGGGCTCAAAAAATCTATCTTCTGCCTCAGCTTCCCAATGTGCTGGAATTACTGGCATGAACCACTGTGGCTGGCTTTTTTTTTTTTTTTTTTTTTTGAGACAGGTTCTCACTCTTGTCCAGGCTAGAAAGCAGTGGTGGGATCTTGGCTCACTGTAGCCTCAAACTTCTGATCTCAAGCAATCCTCCCACTCTGCCTTCCAACTAGCTAGGCCTACAGGCACATGCCACCACACTCGACTAATTTTGTTTATTTTTTTGTAGACATGAGGTCTCACTATGTAGTCCAGGCTGGTCTTGAACTCCCAGGCTTTAAGTGATCCTCCCACCTTGGCCTCCCAAAATGCTAGGATTACAAGTGTGAGCCACTGCAGCCAGCCTCTTAAATATTTCTAAAATCTGTTCACTTTTCTCATATCCATTTGCCTTTTTACTAGTCCTCTTTACTCCCAAAGTTTTCATCTAGTCATGAGGGGAAAAGAAGTGCTCCAAAGGGCGGCTGGAGAGTCAGGTGGGGACTGAAGTTTTACCTTTCCTTCAAAAGTCACAGGCTTTGAGTGAGAATGGGTCCCTCACCCCATCAACTTTGCTACTCCTTACTTATCTAGCTGTAAACAAGGAATTTATTAAAAAGTCATGGCAAAAATGGAAATTACTTTTGCACAGACCTAGTACCTCCCATGCTTGTTTCCGACTCTCTGTGGAATGGGAATAAGAACACCAACTACCTCATGGAACTGCTGTGCACAGGAAATGAGTCCGTCAATACACGCAAAACACAAAGAACAGAGACAGGGACACGATAAACAATCTGCTCTCCTGGTTGCTGCATACTAGAATTATAGCTTTTCAGCCTCTTGCTGTACTCTGAGGCCCTTTCTTAGCATTCACATGGCAGTGATTTTACATGTTATTTTTCAAATAGCCATTAAATTAATATTTGTCTCTTCCTCTACTGTAAAATTCATGAAGCAGATACCAAGTCTGCCTTTGCTCTTCTTAGCACAGTGCTTGGCAAAGGAAAGCACCGAAATATTTGTTAAGTAAATCTTTTAAATAAAGCAAACCAATAAAGCAAACCAGTGACCCCAGTGGTTACCAGTCTGTAGTTTAGGATGTCTTCAGAAGTTCTCCGAAAGTTTCCTATCTGCAATAGTGCTTCTCCAACCTCACTAACAGAATCACCTCAGAAGCTTTCAAATATGCCCATGTTCAGGCTCCAAAGATTCCATTTTGACTGGGATGGGGTTGGCCAGGGCCGGTATTGAAGACTCTCTAAATAATTCTAATTTGCAAGTCAGGTTGGAAAGCTCCAGTGCTGCTATCACCAGCTTCAGCTCCTGTGTGAAGGCCTCCAATCTGATCTCTGCTTTAGAATTTGACCAACTACCGGCACCCTTGGTTGAATTACCCTTTCCTATCTACATAATAGAGGAAAAATATGGGAAGCGGCAGCTTTATGGGCAGGACCTAGGCGGATGGAACAAACCAGTAGGGTTCCTGCTGTTCAGACAATTGTAATCCTCGCAGCGAACCTGTTGGGCGACTCCCGGCCCAGGCACTCGCCAGCCCACTCTCATTCAGGGTGTTCTGCCCGTAGAGGGCGAGCGCATCGGGTCGCGAACCTCTTCTTTTTCTTCTTTTTTTTTTTTTAAATAGGATTTTATTTATATTAAGAGCCACCACAGAGTTTCCCACGGTGTAAAAGAATGGTGGCGATGATTGCCTTAAAGGCTGAACTCCGCAACCCGTCCCTTCTGCGCGTTGCTCCCCAGGTAGATCCGTTTCCTTCCCACCTGCCTCTCGCTCCACATCCGCCCACCTCTGCCCAGTCCACGGTCCGTTTACCCCCATTCTTGAACGATTCCATCGGAATTCCCGAACCCGGTTCCAAGGGTGACTCCGAGATATGAGGCCGCCCTTCGTGAAGCCACCGCAGGCTCCTCCAGCGGACAGCCTCTGGAGCAGGGAGCCGGGCGGCCGGGGGCCCCGTGCGCCACTGGGGCAGAGGTCGCTCCCGGATCGCGGGAAGGGACTCACGTGTGGCTCTGCGGGAGGTCAGGGGGCCGGTAACGCTCATCCTGGCCTCGGAAGGCGGGTCCCCGCGAGGAAGCCGCTCGCGTAGGCTGGCTGCGGAGCCACCCCCTCGGCGGGCGATCCCCTCAAGCCCTGACTTAGGAGCCAACAAGCCGCGAGTCCACGGCCCTGGGCGAAAAGAGTCGCATTCCCTCCCCACGCCCTCAAGGTAAAGAGACCGAAACGCGCATTCCGGACCCGGCACAACAGGTCCTCCGGGCACCCGCGAGGCTGGGGAGGTCGGGGGCGACTGACTGCGAAGAGGGTAGAGCGTTCCACGGGCGCATTTCCTGCGGAGGGGCCTCTCCACTTACGGATCTTACTTTACCGATCCCCAGACCCACAGCAAATCCTGAGTTTGGGGCGCAGGCATCATACCGAAGGCGCTGGTGGGAGTGGAGTTCTGGACGCTTGGCGTGCAACCAATCTGTTCTGTCCGAGAGCGAAGTTAGGTGGAGCAGGAAAAGAGCCTGTATGCGCGCCCCGGGACCTGACTCTCGGGGCGATCGGCGACCACTCACCTTGTGCCTGCGCCTCCATGGTGGTTGACTTCGAGCTGAGGGCGGCGGGGACACACCGGTGCTTCCCAGAGCAGATGGCAGCTGTGCCCGGGCTCAGAACGCAGCTGGCCCCGCCGTTCGCTCCCACTCCTGGCACGCGTGTCGCGAGCGCTGTGCGGAGGGACGCAGGCAGCCGCCACTGGCCGCTTCTGATTACCTCCGCCCCTCCCAGTCCACCTGGCCCAAACCAAGCTGGAAAGAGCTCGCCGCTGGGCGCCACCTGCCGGCGCTCTGCACCGCGGGCGGACGGCACCCTCTCCCCGCGCTATACCCGCAAACCGCAGGGATATTACAGGTTAGGTTCCAGACCCCCGCAATAAAGCGAGCAGTGCAAAAAAATGAGTCACACGAATTTTTCAGTTTCCTAATGCATATAAAAGTTACGTTTACACTACGCTGTAGTCTAAAAGAGCAATGTACATAGCTTAATTTTAAAAGATATTTTATTTCTAAAAGATACTAAAGATCAACTTCAACTAATGGTAATATTTTTGCTGAAGGAGGGCATCGCTTGGACGTTGATGGCTGCTGATTGATCCTGGTGGTGATTGCTGAAGGCTGGAATAGCTGTGTCAATTTCTTAAAATGGGACAACAATGAAGTTTGCTGCATCAATTGACTCTTTTTAATGAAAGATTTTTCTGTAGCATGCAATGCTGGCTGATAGCATGTTATCCACATTGTAACTTTATTCAAAATTGGAGTCAATTATCTCAAACCCTGCCATTGCTTTATCAACTAAGTTTATATAATTATAAATCCTTTGCTGTCATTTCAACAATGCTCTGAACAACTTCACCAGGAGTAGATTCCATCTCAAGTAACCACTGTCTTTGCTCATCTATAGGAAGTAACCCCTTAACCATTCAAGTCTTAGGCGATTGACCAACTTAGTCACATATTCAGGCTCCACTTCTAATTCTAATTCTCTTGCTATTTCTATCACATCTGCAGTTACTTCCTGCTTTGAAATCTTTAATCCCCAAAGTTATTCAGGAGGGTTGGAAGCAACTTTTTCCAAACTCCTGTTAATGTTGACTTTTTGACCTCCTCCCATGAATTATGAATGTTCTTAATGGCATCTAGAATGCTGAATCCTTTCCAGAAAGTTTTTAATTTACTTTGCCCAGATCCAACAGAAGAATCACTATCTATGGCAGCTATATCCTTACAAAATTTATTTCTTAAATAATAAAGCTTGAATGTCAAAATTACTCCTTTATCCATGGGCAGCAGGATTGATGTTGTATTTCCCAGACATGAATACAACATTAATCTCTTTGTACATCTCCATTAACACTTGAGTGACCAAGTATATTATCAATCAACAATAATATTTAGAAAAGTATTTTTTGAGCAGTAGGTCTTAATAGTGGACTTAAAATATTCAATAAGCCATGCTGTAAACAGATGTGCTGTCATTCAAGTTTTGTTGTCCCATTTATAGAGTACAGGTGGAATATATTTAGCATAATTCTTAAGGACTCCAAAATTTTCAGAATGGTAAATGAACTTTGGCTTCAGTGTAAAGTCACCAGCTACTTTTGCCCATAACAAGAGAGTCAGTTTGTCCTTTGAAGCTTTGAAACCAGGCATTGACTTCTTTGTAGCTATAAAAGTCCTTGTTAGCATCTTCTTCCAGTATAAGGCTGTTTCATCTGTACTGAAAATGTGTTGTTTAGTGTAGCCACCTTCATCAGTGGTTTTAGCCAGATCTTCTGGAGAGCTTTCTGCAGCTTTGGCATCAGCCCTTCCTGCTTCACCTTACATTTTCATGTTATGGAAATGACTTCTTTCCTTAAACTTCATAGGCCAGTCTCTGCTAGCTGCCAACTTTTCTTCTGCAGATTTCTCACCTCTCTCAGGCTTTATAGAATTGAAGAGAGTTAGGGCTTTGCCCTGGATTATTAGGTTGTGGTTACAGGAATGCTGTGGCTGCTTTGATCTGGTTTAATCCAGACCACTCAAACTTTCCCTATATCTGCAAGAAGACTGTTTCACTTCCTTATCGTTTATGTGTTCACTGGAGTAGCACTTTTAATCTCCTTCAAAAAGTCTTCTTTCACACTGACAGCTTGAATAATTCACACAACAGACCTAGCTTTTGGCCCGTCACAGCTTTCAACATGCCTTCCTCACCAAACTCAATCATTTCTAGCTTTTGATTTACGGTGAGAGACGTGACTCTTCCTTTCATATGAATACATGAAGGCCATTGTAGGGTTATTAATGGGCATAATTACAATATGCCCGTTGTGTCTCAGAGAATGGAGAGGCTTAAGAAGAGGGAGAGAGATGGGGAAACAGCTGGCCAGTGAAGCAGTCAGAACACATACAAGATTTATTGATTCAGTTCGCCGTCTTATATGGGCATGGTTCATGGTTCCTCAAAATAATTGCAATGGTGACATCAAAGATCACTGATCCCGGATCACCTTAACTGATATAATATAATGAAAAAGCTTGAAATATTGTGAGAATTACTAAAGTGTGACACAGAGACATCAAGTGAGCACATAGCATTGGAAAAATGGCACCAATAGATTTGCTCAACACAGGGATACCACAAACCTCCAACTTGTTAAAAACGTGGTGGTTCACGTCTGTAATCCCAGCACTTTGGGAGGCCGAGGTGGACAGATCGCGAGATCAGGAGATAGAGACCATCTGGCTAACATGGTAAAACCCCATCTCTACTAAAAATACAAAAAGTTAGCTGGGCGTGGTAGCACATGCCTGTAGTCCCAGCTAATTGTGAGGCTGAAGCAGGAGAATCACTTGAACCCAGGAGGCAGAGGTTGCAGTGAGCTGAGATCTCACCACTGTACTCCAGCCTGGGTGACAGAGGAAGACTCCATCTCAAACAAGACAAAACAAAACAAAACAAAAAACAAAAACCAACACCACCAACAAAATGCAGTATCTGTGAAACATAATGAACTATGCCTGTAAAGGTCTGATGCAACTGAAGTTGTCCTTGAGCTTTGCAGTATGGGACAAATGCCCTGGACAGAGGAAGAGAACATGGTTTTACAATACTGAGCCATTACTCTTAGTGGCGATACAAAGTTAGGTTTCCACAAGCCTTGGTTCCAACATTTTTGTCAACTGATCAATACACAATTTTGTTTTATGTATATTTTAGTTTAAAGACACCTTATTTCATGTATATCATGTATATTGTTGCTTCATTAACTTTGAGCTCACAGCCAACAGCACTAGAACTCATATCAGAATGAAGTTTATTAAGCTTAATGTTTGTGTTTTCTCTCTAAGGCTTATCACAGCCTTTTTGCACGTAGGAACACTAGACAGTAGTTCAATGCTATGCTTGGGGGCCCAGAAAAATCACACACACACACATACAAAACGTCTGTTTACAGGCTGGAGAGATGAAACAAGAAAGCAGGGCTGCCTTGTTTTTCCTCTGTGGGAAACTTGAGTCTTCTGGGGTCTCTGTCCACGTGTGCCTGTAGGTTGTATTTGCAGGTCGATGAAGCCGACAAGTTTACAAACAGGACTAGAAACTCACAGTCTTGTTCCAAGGCTTGCCTTTCTAATGTGATTAGAAAGAATGATAAGCAGTAAGAAATATCAGCTCCCATCTCTACTCTACTGGCTTTTGACCATGACAGATCTTTCCTTTTTCTCAAGATCTACACAATCTTCATCTGTAATATGTAATATGGTACTTATTTACATTTGGTCTTGAATAGTTTGTCATTTGGGTTTTTTTTTCCTCTTCTTAAAATAGATGACAAAGTCTGTCACGGTTGAGTGTGGGTATATTAAACCTCCCATAATTTCTTCCAAAAAGTCTTATAAAAATTCCATAGCTCAAAATGATTGATTGAATAAACTATTAACTAACCAGTAGGTTACACTTTATCCATGCCCATGTTACTTGCACAGTATAGACTAACAAATATAAAGGGAGTCTTACATTTTTTTTCTTGAAAGAAGGAATATTACTCATGTTTCCTGGCACATGTACAAATGCCTCAGTGTGGTTTTTGTTATGTTGAAGATCTCACTGATTTGTAATCATTGCCAATAAAATTGCTATGTAGAATGCTAAGCATAGGGCTTTTAAATGACTTTTGGTAATAGTGACCAGGGATGCATGAAGTGAAGAATCAGTGACTAAATCACTTTTAGAGTCTATTCAGTTGTTCTGGTCTTCTCTATCCTGGAAATTAAACACCAGGTTACGGTTGACTCCCAGCTGCTAAAAAAAGCTAAAAATAGTTAACGACTTTCCAGCTTGAGTCATCTAAGCCTCATCTAAACTCTGGCTTATTTTTCTGATTTATAACATTTTAAGTTACTACTCTTTAAAATTTTCAATCATTTATAATAGTAAAACATTGGTATTTATTCCAAAATAGTTATTGAACATCTATGTGCCAGGAGCTGTGCTAGATGCTAAGGGTATAGGTAAAGGACATGATCCTTCCTAACCAGGGAGTTCATGATTGGGTGAGATGGAGGGATAAACAGGTTTTTTATAAAGCAGTGCCTCATGGTAAGCGCTGTGCCAGTGGGTGAGCCCAGGGCATCTGTGAGCACTGAAGGAAGCCTCCTAATTCAGGCTGGTGAGAAGATACAGAGAGGTTTCTTCCAAAATACTGGCCTGAGCTGTGTCTTAAAGAGTAAAGGAATTAGCCAGGTAAATTTGTGTTATTGCCCAAATAATGGTTTAGCCAGAGAAGACAATTATTGAAGTTAACATATTATAAAAAA